CTGACACGGAACGTGTCAGAATAGAAAAAAAAAAAATAATTTTGCCCATAGGAATGCAGAAAAAAAAAAGAAAAAGCAGTGTTTCTCTCCTTGGCGGCCGGGAGCGGCAGACTCCCGGAGCGCCCGGGAGAGTTTGCTGTCTGGAGATCAGTGCCCCTGGTTAGCTGGTAACCAGGGACGCTGATCTCTCTGCAAGTGGCCGGAGCCAGCCGTAAGATCAGCTGTCAGAAGCAGGCTGTCGGCCAGCCAATGGTCGGCTGCTCGGCCAGCTTCGGCTTTCAGCGCGGCTAAGTTCGGGAGCTGTACGGGCTATTGTGAATAGCCCGTACAGCAGCCCTTCAGTTCTACTGAACCGAAGGGGTCCTGGGGCCGAAGGATCGGCCGAAGCTACGGCTAGATCCTTCGGCTGCTTCGTGAATAGACCCGTATGATGCAGTAGATGTTAGTTTTTGTGTGGTCAAAATGAATCTCTCTCCTTACCTCAGCATGGCTTGCAGGAAGGTTAGCAGGAACTCATAATGAGGAAGAAGGTAATTGAATCATAGAAAAAGGGAGGACACAGAATCCTAAATGTAACTAAAATAGTGACCACTGGTGGCAGCCTTACACAAAAGATTAACTATGACAAAACATAGAGAATAAATACAAATGCAGTTACATTGCCCATATTATTGCTGGAAGCAGCACATTCTGAAATATTGTTCTTTCCCTGATATTAGAAACTTAGGGTGATACACACATTGAAACCCCTGTGTGTTGTGCACAAAGACTACTTTGTGCACAAAGGCACAAAGACACTAAAACAAAGTGTTGAAAGACTACCATTGGCACTAGCACAACCTAAACAAAAATGGACAAGTTTGCAATTAGGCAGCAACATAAATAAATATAAAAATGGGATGGGAAAAAGAGTTATCTAAATGTCACTATTAAAAAGGAAAACTGTACAGCATTGGTACTGTAACAAGGACACTCCACTGAAGACCGGAGGTGCAAGTACAATGCAGTTTATTTGCTTTCAAAACGATAGATAACACGAAATCCAACATAAATAGCTTGCTGTAGCATAACAGATAGGGGCTCACCAATCCTCGAGTTGTCACGTACACTCAAGGTGTCCCAGTCTTTTAACAAGTCTCTCTCGCAGCACTGCTGCTCCGGCCTCAATCTTTAGGGCCACTGTCTGGTTCCTCCAGACAACAGCAATAACATGCCAATCCTCTCAATATGGTTCACAAACCCGCAGCTCCCTGCTGCACTGGCCTCCACACTGACTCCGGGGTGGAGCTCTCCTGACTCACAGGTGGGGCCCTGAACACATCCCAGCACACACTTCATGAGGGATGTAAACAGGTGCACAATCAGGTGCTGGTCACCACCAAAGCATGGACCCAGGAATGGAGATTTCTTCCCACCCAGAGCTCTAAGAAATCTCCTGGCTCCAGGATCCCAACCTTGATCCAGAAAACCCAGAAAGAACTGAAAAGGCAGTTCTCTCCTGGTACCAGTAATGTCTTCCTGGAGCCACTCAGCCCCTCTGGCTGAGAACCCTGGGTGACTTTGAGGCCACCTAACACCGTGGTATTGCCTCACAATGCCACAGTACAGATACTAAATATGAGAAAATGCTGTTTTAAAAACAAATTGGGGGACATATCTGCTCTATAACTGTTGCCACTAGGAGAGGAACTAAAGGCAAATTGATGGAAAGGTAGTACAGGGGAGATCTTCCTATAGTGACACATTCTCTAGTGACAGCAAAAAGCAGTATTTCCCCTTATTTTGAGGAGATTTCCTCTCACCTCTTGTTGTGTCTTCAAGACAGGAAGTGATCTCTCTATAGGGACCCAGACAGAAATAGAATCCCAGCAGAGTTTCTCTTTTCCACTCTGTTTTAAACTAGAAAGAGAAAACTTTAGTTGAAGTTCAACTTTAAGGAGCAGCAAACACTTGATTTATTGAAGTATAGAGCAGGGATCTGAATATCGTGTGGCATTTACGAGTGTAGCATTGTGTAAATTACACTGATCATGTGTATCCTCATTCTTCTAATCTGCTGCTTGAATGATCTGATGCAGTCAGTTCCTGCGGTCATACAGCTTGCTACATTAAATGCTTTCTTTATTCAAGTCTGCAAGAAAATCTTAGCTATGGAAATGCATGAGGCGTGTACTCAGAATTCCAAGAAATTGATAGCACAAGGGCTTTCAAGCAGTTAGTCAACGGACTATGGAAGCAAAGGTGAAAGTAACTGACACATCCCACTGATCTACTGATGCCTGCTATGTATTTAACGGAAAGTTTCCCCTTTAAAACTATACACATATCAAAAGAAAGAACCCAAGAGCTGTCCTGAAAAGGTAACTGGTTGTGTTCCTGAAAAGCTAGAATCAGGCCACTAAGATTTGTGAGGCAGACTTGAAGAGCAGTTATTTGAAAACACATTGAGGAGCCTGAACTGACAAGCAGTGATGTCCAGAAGATGATAGCAGAGAAATGAAAGAAATAAATCATGTTAGACATCATAGGGCACAATGTGTAAGTTAAAATGAAATGGTAGTGCTACACCTTTCCCTGTAGGAATCAATGGCCTTAAAAACCGCTAGAATCACTTGAGAAAGAGAAGATCAATCATTATACCCACTTGCCCTTGAGAAAATCAAATCCAGGTGAGAAGGGAAAATCTGTCCATGGAATAATATGGTTTCTTTGTATATGGTATGATAAGATGTAAGAAGTCACAGAGCTCATTTGCCTTATATAAGATGGATACATCATCATATAAGAATGTGTATAGTGATATATATATATATAT